GTGTTTAGCAGAGTTACGGAATGATGATGTCATGCCGTTGCATGGATTGTAAGCAGCGGCTATATTTGTAAGTGCTGGTTGATGTCCTTTGGCTCTATGTGCTTTATAATTGTCATGCCACATTCATTTTAATAAATGCTACACCATGAGATATCTATTTGGCTCTGTTTTGTGAGCATTTATTCCACACAGTTGTGGTTCTTACCTCTCTCCCCTAGACGGTGGTGTCACAGTCAGTGTCAGAGGTGTCATCCTAAAGGGACTGTGAGCAGAGTGGAGTTTTGTTTGGTATGCTATAAAGCACTTTAGCTGCTATTGTATATGCAGCCACATTTTTTGGTGAGTGCGAAGTGTTGGTGGTGGTATTTGTACGGTGGATTTCACGAAGTTGTCTGTTGGTCCATATATTAGTGGTGCAAAGTTGGTGCACTTTAATTTTTATTGACTTCAATTCAATTTCTGAATTTTTTATTTATGATTATTTATACAGTGGGGAAAAGTTTGGACTATAAAAATCTTGTAATTGTGAATTGGCCTTTTTACTGATGAAAAATTGCAATTTTAGGCATAAATTACAGATTTAATTAATCAATAGATCAATTGAACATTTGTGTTTAATTATTTTCATCATTTGACATGTTTTAAAATAACTGAAACTATTGTAATGGCCTATAGGTGCTGCACTTTATTTATAGCATGCACTTCCCCCTTTCAAAGCAGACCTGCCAGTTTTTGTATATCAATCTTGTTGGAAGACTGCCTTATGTCAATCTCAAAGGTTTTAAATGCCCAGACTCATGTGACCTTGCCCCAACAATCAGCACATGGGTTCTTCTAAGCAGGAGTCTAGAAAACTGAAACTGAAAATAGTTGACGCTCAAAAGTTGGAGAAGGCTAGAAGAGCAGCAAAAGCATTTTCATGTCAGATTGCTGGATCATTAAGAAATGGGCATCAGGTAACAGTGGAAGTTAAAGCAAGATCTGGAAGACCAAGAAAACTTCCTTTAGAACACTCGCAGGATTTGATTTATTTTTAAATTCAAAACCCACGTTGACTGTAGAGGATTTACTCCTCCTTAATGAAAGGCCTCTTTTTGCTACACGGTGCTGTACACTATTCCACTATAAAGAGATCTTGTACAAATATGGTCTTCATGGAAGAGTCATCAAAAGAAAACCTCTTCTACATCCTCACCACAAAAATAATCGTTTGAACTTTGCAAATGAACATATAGACAAACCTGATGCATTTTGGAAACAAGTTCTGTGGACCGATGAGGTTAAAATTGAACTTTTTGGCCGAAATGAGCAAAGGTGCGAGGGGGACTGTGAAGATGGGGCGAGTACGTTTGGAGAAAAAGGGGCACATAATTTAATGAAAAGAACCTCTGTCCAACTGTTAAGCATGGAGTTGGATCAATCATGCTTTGGGGTTGTGTTGCAGCCAGTGGCACAGGAACATCTCACGAGTAGAAGGAAAAATGGACTCAATAAAATTTCAGCAAATTTTGGATGGTAACTTGATGCCATCTGTGAAAAAGCTGAAGTTAAAGAGAGGATGGCTTCTACAAATGGATAATGATCCTAAACACACCTCGAAATCCACGAGGGATTACATCAAGAGGCGTAAACTGAAGGTTTTGCCATGGCCTTCACAATCTCCTGACCTCAACATAATTGAAAATCTATGGATAGACTTAAAAGAGCAGTGCGTGACAGACAGCCCAGAAATCTCAAAGAACTGGAAGACTTTTGTAAGGAAGAACGGGCAAAGATACCTCAAACAAGAATTGAAAGACTCTTGGCTGGCTACAAAAAGCGTTTACAAGCTGTGATACTTGCCAAAGGGGGCAGTACAAGCAATTAACTCTGCAGGGTGCCCAAACTTTTGCAGACTTTTTTTGTTTTTGTTATTTTGAAAGTGTAAATGATGGAAATAAAATCTAACTTTTGTTGACATATTATAAGAATGTCTAATCTGTAATTTGATGCCTTTTGGAGATTTTTTCCATCTTTCCTTGGCTTCTTTATGCACATTAATACAAATTTTTAGCTGGGGTGCCCAAACTTTCGATCCCCACTGTATTTATACACAGAGGAATGGACTATATCATCTTGTAATTGGTGAATTGGCCTTTTTACTGATGAATTGCACATTTTAGATATTTAAGAAATTAATTAATCAATAGATCAATTGAACCCATTTGTGTTTAATTATTGGTTCATCTTTGAAATGTTTTAATATTCTGATACTATTGTAATCCTATAGGTGCTGCACTTTATTTATATTATTTATTCCAGAGGTTTTTGTATATTGATCTTGTTGCTAGCTGCCTTTCTGCTTTCTACTGGGTGCTGATTCATACTTTTTACTTGGCAGGAGCCAGTAACTCCTGCTGCTGCATTTGAGCAAGTTAGGAAAGAGAGAGCAGCAATATTGCTCTCATGCAGATTGCTGGATCAACACTGGGCTCGGGTAACAATGCATTAGGATGGAAAACTTCCTTTAGAACCACTTTATTTATTTATTTATTTTTAACCACTTGCCCTGTAGAGGATTTACTCCCCTTAATGACCAGGCCTCTTTTTGCTACTCGGTGCTGTACAGCCACTCTCTGCAGATCTTCCTGCAAGTCAAGGGCGAGGAACAGAGCCATTATACCCCCTCACAGGAAGTCGGTTGAATGATACTGGGTGTCATTCAACATTGAAGAAGACCATCACTAGGTCAGTGAGCCTGCGGGGGACTGTATTGAAGATGGGGCGAGTACAGCAGCTTTTTACATATTTTTATAGATGCCATGGATTGATTAACCACTTGCCCTCTAGAGGATTTTTCCCCCCTAATGACCAGGCCTTTTTTTGCTACTCGGCGCTGCACTTATTCAACTGATAATTGCGCAGTCATGCAATGCTGTACCCAAATGAAATTTACGTCCTTTTTTTCACACAAATAGAGCTTTCTTTTGGTGGTATTTGATCGCCTGTGTGCTTTTTATTTTTCGCGCGGCCGTAAACCGAAAAAGACCGAAAATTTTGAAGGGAACTATATTTTTTACTTTTGGCTATAAAAAAATGTATAGTAAACTCAAACTTAGTTATACATTTAGACTAAAATGTATTCTGCTACATGTTTTTGGTCAAGGAAATCCCAATAAGTGTATATTGATTGCTTTGTGTGAAAGTTATAGCGTCTACAAACTATGGTATAGATAATGGAATTTACGCCTTTTTTGCTATACAGCGTTGCGTTAGTTTAACGGACAATTGTACGGTCATGTAATACGGTACATGAATGAAAGTTATGTCCTTTTTTTCACACAAATAGAGATTTCTTTTTGGTGGTATTTGATCACCTATGCGCTTTTTATTTTTGATGCTATAAACAAAAAAAGTTTTGAGGAAAAAAAAGTTTTTGAAAAAAACAATATTTTATCATTTCTGTCATAGAAAATATCCCAAAAAACTAAAATTTCATCATAAATTTAGGCCAAAATGTATTCTGCTACATGTTTTTGGTTAAAAAAATCCCAATAAGTGTATATTTATTGCTTTGTGTGAAAGTTATAGCGTCTACAAACTATGGTATAGATAATTTACACAACTTTTCCTTTCTGACTGTTCATCACATTGCTTGAGGTGCTAAAATACCAGGATAGTACAAACACCCTCAAACGACCCCTTTTCGGAATGTAGACTCCCTAAGCTATCTGCTGAGAGGCATATTGAGTCCATGGAAGATTTATTTTTTTTCTACAAGCTTCTGGAAAATTACAACATTTTTTTTTTACACATGTCATTTAAATGATATATTTCTCGCACAAGCAATGGGCATATGTGGAATTACACCCTAAAATACATTCTGCTACTTCTACCGAGTATGGAGATACCACATGTGTGAGACTTTCTGGGAGCCTAGCCACACACAGGAGCCTGAAATCCAATGACCACTTTGAAAGCCTGAAGGTGTGTAACTCCCTCATTTCACTTCCTCACTACCTATCACAGTTTCAAAGGCCCTGAAATGCCAGGATAGCAGCAACCCCCCCCCCCCCCCCCCCCAAGACCCCTTTTTGGAAAGTAGACACCCACCCCAAGGAATTTAAAAAGAGGCATAGAGAGTATTTTGCAGATCTCATTTTTTCTCACAAGCTTTTGAAATATAAAAAAAGAAAAGAAAAAATATGTTCTTGTTTTTTTTTCTTCATTTTCCAAAAACTTGTGGCAACAAACGAGATCTGCAAAATACTCACTATGCATCTTATCAAATTCCTTGGGGTGTCTACTTTCCAAAAAGTGGTCATTTGGGGGGAGTTTGGTTTTTCTGTCACATAGTACTCGTGCAGCGATTTTTCAAACGCAATTTTAAAAAAAAAAACTTTTTTTTTTACTTTTAATGCACAAAACACAATATATTGCCCAATTATTTGGTAAACTATAAAAGATGATGGCATGCCAAGTAAATAGATAGCAAACATGACATGCTTTAAAACTGTGCATGAGCCATGCAATGGCGACAAACTGCATACGTTTTTAATATCCATAGGTAACGTTTTAAAAGCCTTTACAAGCTACCATTTTAGATTTACAGAGGAGGTCTAGTGTTATAATTACTGCCCTTGATCTGACGTTCGTGGCGATACCTCACATGCATGGTGCAACTGCTGTTTGCATACTGGCACAGGGTCAAGGCTCACGAACGCAGGTGCACGCGTGCGCAGATGGGGGTGAGGGTACTTTTTTTTTCTTTTTTTTAAGTTATTTTGATTTTTTTTTATAATTTTTACACTGTCTCTTTTTTTTTACTTTTAATGCTATCACAGGGAATGCAAATATCCCCATAACTTCAATGGGCATTGTCATATATTCTTTTTTGAGAAATCTGGGGTTCTATCAGACTCTGCCCTTACATTATCTAATCAAACCAAGGTCGGTGTGATCAGATGCTTTTCCAATTTACAAATGGCGCTGTTTATATCCTGCGAAACTGAAGTGATGAAATGCTCGTAGCTTCTGATTTCTTAGGCTATAGAGATGATTGGCACCATTCTGGTCTCCAATCAGCTCCATGGTCAGCTGGCAGAAACACTGGCTGCATTCTCAGTTTCCCCTGATGGCACGGGACTGCCCGAGAAGGCCGTGGAAGGCAGCGGGGGGAGGGCAATCCTGCAGCTAATTAGCCACTATGATTGCTTTTACATGAAAGCTGATTGTCAGCTGAAAAAAATGATACCAGGATGATGCCTGCAGATGTAGGCATCATCCTGGTATAACCATTCAAAGTCCAGTGATATACCAGTATATCGCTGATCCTTGTTGGGTATATATGCTATGTTCTTTTTTTTCTTTTTGTATGCAGCCTGTGGACTGAATGAAAAAAAGAGAAGAAATCTCTGCCAAAAAAAAAAAAATGTGTGGTATGCCCACCATTAGAATATACCACCCTGCATCCACCCACTTCTAATGGTGGGCACACATTGGGTCACACTTTGCCACATGCGAAAGTTCCAAGATTGTACAAATGTCTAAATAGTGGCACGCTTGAATAAAAATTGTCCACGTATAAGTGGTACCTCATATGGAAAAAGGATGACACCAAGTCCCAAACTATCTTGCTACTACTCCCCATGTAGTCTGGGCATCTGGGGGGCTCCACGTGACTATCTTTTCCCTCGTAAATCCGAAACTTATAAGTATAACCTGTTGTCCTCTCACAGGTCTTCTACATCTTGATCCCATATCTGGCACGCTTGCTGGGGAGAAATTGTTTGAATGCAAGGCGGCCAGAAAAACTAATGAGAGACTCATCAACGCAGATTTTTTGCTGGGGAGTATAGACATCTGCTAATTTTTGTTTAAGGTGATTTACAAGGGGCTGAATTTTGTGGAGCCGGTCAAATTCAGGGTCACCTCGAGAACAACAGTGTGTACTGTCGTTGAAATGCATAAAACACATTATACTCTCATATCTATTCCTGGCCATGGCAGCAGAGAACATGGCATATAATGAATCGGGTCTGTGGACCAATACAACCGCAATTCATTTTTTTTAGTAATGCCCATGTTGAGGGTTAGGCCCAAAAAAAATATAAACTCGAAAACCGTAATGGGTTTCCATGCGAATGGTCTGGCAAGGTTTGAATTTTGGTTGGCGGCGATACATTGTTGTGTGTATAAAATGCTTTGATCCACAATCAATGCATACAGATCTTCCGTGAAAAACAGCTCCAAAAAAATCAAGGGGATGAGTTAAATTTGCTATTTCCACCTTGTTGGGCAGTGAATGGGGGAAGTATGGGTGCTGCAGAATTTGTGGGTTGCCAATCGGAAGGATACTAGGAGCTCTATGGGCCTGTGTGCGAATTCGTGGTGGTTGCGGGACAATACTTGTGCTCGCCACTTCACCAACTTGTACTGCACTAATGGGACTCTCCACATCACCAAGTGATACTGCAGTGCTATTATTATTATTATATAGGATTTATATAGCGCCAACAGTTTGCTCAGCGCTTTACAATATAACAGGAGACAATACAGCAACAATCCAGTTGAATACAAGAGGGTTAGGAGGGCCTGATCCTTGGAGCTTACAATCTAAGAGGTATGTGAAAGACCAGGATGTACTAGACCGCTGGTGCTCGCCAGTTCACCAAAAGGTAGCGTGGCACTAGTACTGGCACTCTGCTGCATATGAGAGTCATCAAAATTTACCAGCAAGTGCTAACAGAGATCAGGCCTGATTCTGCTAACACTGCGGTTTTGTGTGCAATGTATCAAGTGACAGTGACCTACTGACACTGCACTTTCTGAGGGAGAGGCAGGGGGTAAGCGTAGGGGCTAAATGCAGGTGCTGGCAGGTGCTGGGGCTGATCCCACTAACGCTGCATTTTTGGGGACACTATACTAATGTGAACGCTGGTATAGTGCTGATCTGATCAAAGATATTGATCCGTTCAGACACTATACTAGCAATGAAGGTTTATTGTGTATGAGCGTCTTCCTGGCAATCAAGGGGTTAAATGTGATTACTGGTATACTGACCGGCAATCTGACGCCATCTGGGAGGGGTGTGAAAACCACAGGAGCACGAATCATGTATATATATGTGATTTTGCGCACCTGTGCTGCCCTGTAGCAGTATTTCTGCTATAGGGCGGTCAGGAAGCGGTTACATAAGCAGTTTGTGTTACGGCGTTGCATTACTTTAACTGACAATTGCGCGGTCATGCAACACTGCACCAAAATTAAATTTACATCTTTTTTTTCCCCACAAATTGGGCTTTCTTTTGGTGGTTTTTGATTGCCTGTGCGTTTTTTTATTTTTTGCGCTATAAAAAAAAGCCCGACAATTTTGAGAAAAAAAAAAAATATTTTGGACTTTTTGCTATAAAACATGTCCAGTAAAAAAATTTAAAAATCAAATTTCATCATAAATTTCAGCCAAAATGTATTCTGCGACATGTCTTTGCTAAAAAAAAATCCCAATACATGTAAATTAAATGGTTTACGTGAAAGCTATAGCGTTTACAAATGGCGGTATAGATACTGATTTTTTTATACTAATAATAGTGGCGATCGGTGACCTATGGCGGCAATCAGCGACTTATGGCGGGACTGCGGCGGACATTCTGACACTGGGGGGAACTGACTTGGGGTAACTGACATCCTCAGTGACACCAATACAGTGATCAGTGCAAAAAAAAAAAAAAAAACACTGACACTGTAATAATGGCACTGGGGAGGAAGTGTTAACTTCTGGAGACAATCAAAGGGTTAACTGTGTGAGGGGAGTGTTTTTACTAGGGGGGCGGGGGGGTGTACCTCTCTGTTACACACTGTCCCGGAAGGCTGTGACCAGCGATCCCGCCACAGTGTGCTGAAAGCTAAAAGGGAGGAAAGCTCCATTGAAAACAATGGGTTTGGGGCACGGTCACAGATGGGGTGCAGGTCTCTGCATGAGTGTGGTTTATGCTGGAGTGTGAAACAGCAGTTGAACACAGCAGTTGAACTAAAGCAGGATAATCCAAGCAGCTCCGTGTACCTTTTTAACCACTTCCTGTCCGGACACTTTCACCCCCTTCCTGTCCAGGCCAATTTTCAGCTTTCAGCATTATCGCACTTTGAATGACAATTGCAGGGACACTGTACCCATATGAATTTTTTAGCATTTTTTTTAGACAGATAAAGCTGTATTTTAGTGGTATTTATTCACCCCTGGGATTTTTATTTTTTTTTGCTATTTAAATGAAAAAGTCCAAAAATGTAGAAAAAAAGTGTTTTTCTTATAAAATTTTGCAAATAAATAATATTTCATCATAAATCTTGGCCAAAATGTATTCCGTTATCTTTTTAGTAAAAAAAAAAAAAACACAAATTAGTTTATAACCAAAAATTATAATTAAAAAAAAAAATGTTTACTTTTTTTTTTATATTATTATTTATGTTTTTGTTTTTTTTACATACTGTCACCCTAGCAGTGCAGTGTCACCATGGTGGGGTGTGATGAAAACTCACTAATGATCTACTAACTGCTAAAACCAATGGCCATTACTCCGTACTCTTACTACTTGACCTCTCTGCGGCTTTTGATACGGTTGACCATCCCCTCCTCCTCAAAAAACTCCACTCTCTTGGCCTCTGAGAATCTGCTCTCTCCTGGTTCTCCTCTTACCTATCGCAGCGCTCCTTCCGCATTACCTATAACTCTAGCTCCTCTTCTCCACTCCCTCTTTCTCTATTAGTCCCTCAAGGATCTGTCCTTGGATCCCTTCTCTTCTCCATTTACACCTCCTCCCTTGGTCACTTGATAAACTCCCATGGCTTTAAGTACCATCTCTATGCTGATGACACACAAATCTATCTTTCTACTCCTCACCTCACCCCTTCAGTCTCCTCACATTACTAACCTACTAAGCGACATATCAGCATGGATGTCACTCCACTTCCTCAAACTCAGTATTCCCTCCAGCCCGTGCCCCTCCCCTGACCTCTCCATCAAGATCAATAACACAACCATCAGTTTACCACATGATCAGCTGTGTCCAATGACACATGCATTTGCTGGTTATCGGCTGCACTTTTCTCACGCTGTCACAGCATGAGGATATACTGCCGATAACCGGCAATCATCAGAGGAGGGATCGGCACCTATCATCAGCGTACTGATGATCTGTGCCCTGATCATCGGTGCCCATCAGTGCCGTCCACAAGTGCCCATCAGTGCCATCCACCTGTGCCCATCAGTGCCACCCACCTGTGCCCATCAGTGCCCAGCAGTGTCACCCACCTGTGCCCAGTAGTGCCACCCATCAGTGCCCAGCAGTGCCACCCATCAGTGCCGCCGATAAGTGCTGCCCAGCAGGGCCACCAGACAGTGCCATAAATCAGTGCTGCCCATCAGTGCCAGCTCATCAGTGCCGCATATCGGTGCCCAACAGTGCCTGTCAGTGCTGCCTATCAGTGCTGCCTATCAGTACCCATCAATGCCACCTATCAGTGCCCATCATTGTTGCATATCAGTGCCAGCTCATCAGTGCCGCCTATCAGTGCCAGCTCATCCGTGCCCATCAGTGCTGCCTATCAGTGCAGCCTCATCAACGCACATCAGTGAAGGAGAAAAATTTTTTGCAAAATAAATAAACAAAGAAAAAAAATTTTTTTTTTCAAAATGTTTGCTATTTTTTTGTTTATAGCACAACAAATAAAACACCCAGCAGTGATTACATACCACCAAAAGAAAGCTCTATTTGTGTGAAAAAAATTATAAAAATGTTATATGGGTACAATGTCGCATGACCGTGCAATTGTCACTCAAAATGCGACAGCGCTGAAAACTGAAAATTGGCCTGTGCAGGAAGGGGGTATAAGTGCACAGTAGGCCCAGTAGGCAAGTGGTTAAACAAAAAAGCAGAGCCATACAAAGCAATGTGCAGGAGCTGACAGGGGAGAGATCTGTATTGTTTACATACAGGTCTTTCCCCCCTGTCTGTAATACACGGCAATCGCTGGGTGTCGCGAGGAATCACCGGCCGGGACCCGGTGATCAACAGGTGAGGCCACCACTGGCGGTGCACGTAGGGTGTGTGCGCAGCTCGTGCGTGCCCCCTACCCGTAAATGCGAAATCACGTGTATATATACGTGATTTTGCGCGCCCCCCCACTGCCCTGTTGCAGTATTTCTACTATAGTGCGGAGGGAAAGCAGTTAAAATAAATGCACCAGGAAGATACACCTGCAGTAAATGACTGGTGAATGCCACATTCACTGCTTTAACAACATACCCGTTAGTGGTGGTTAAGAAAGAAAATAATTGTGAAATATGTACCTGTGCTTTTTTAATTCTCATAGAAATGATGGTTACATGATCTCTGCGAAA